TGTGTGTGTGTGTGTGTGTGTGTGTGTGTGTGTGTGTGTGTGTGTGTCCCCTTTTCAGGAGACATTAGAGAGACAGTTGTGTGATCCTCAGCTCCTGACTCCAGACTTCAGTAAACCAGAGGTGAGGGTTTCAGACCCCATGGCAAACCAAGGTTTAAAGGGACGGTTCGCCAGCGAACTTTGGGCTCCACGCAGGGCTACAGCAGAGCTAGCGCACTTTAACAAGGCACTTGCCCAAAAAGCATGCAGCATAACCAGCTTAAAAAGTTTGGATTGGATTGTGTGTACAGCCGAGTGGAGTCACATGGCTTCTAAGTAAAGTTCAGTTCCGTGCTTATTCTTTTCCCAGATAAACAGCTCATGTTAATTTCAGTGACGCCAGTCTTGATAAGTGAGCCCTGCTGTGTGGTACTAACTGCTGTTTACAAACGGCTTGTAACGTTTGTTTGAGTTTAACCAAGCAATTTCCCCACAATCCCCCTTCTTATCTACCCATCAGGCCCCGCTACAGATCCATGCAGCCATGTTGGCTCTGGACACCTTCCAGGAGCAGCACAGCAGACTCCCCAACACTGGGTAAGCTCAACCTTTCTCTGCTCGTCACTGCCCAGCTCTTATCTGCTACTTTACTTCCCTGTACTCAACAGACACCGATGATATCTTTGGTCCTGGCTGTGGATTCCAGTGTGTGAAGTTGTTGGAATGTAACGCATTCAGTTGGGATTGTTTTTTACTTTTTATGCCATCAGGTGCTCGCAGGATGCCGAGGTTTTACTGAAGCTAACGGAGGAAGTGAATGCAACTCTCAGGAACAAAGTGAGTTTGTGTGTCCCTCATGCTTTGATTTTGTCGAACCTGCAGAGATGCACAAACATCCTCTTTGACAGACGCCTTAACGTCTTTCCTTTCCAGACTTCCGTGAACGTGGAGTTGGTGCGCTGTCTGTCGAGAACAGCGAGGGGAACCCTCCCTCCGTTAGCAGCGGCTGTGGGAGGTCTAGCCAGCCAGGAAGTTCTTAAGGCCATCACAGGGAAGTTTGCGCCACTGCAGCAGTGGGTAGGTCACTCGACTTAACCACAGAAGTGAAAACAGTGCTTATTAACTGTTCAATGGCTCAATCTACCCAGTTAAACAATTTTTGCATCTTTTTAAAAACTGATTTAAAGTTAATTCTCCTCTGTTTTCTCCTGCGTTTAGTTTTATCTCGATGCCATCGAGGTCGTACGGCCACTTCAGTCCGTCGCTGCCGAGGAGTTTTCCCCAAGGGGCGATCGCTACGATGGGTTACGAGCCTGCATCGGTGAATCCATGTGTCTGGAACTGCACAAGCTCAGGGTCTTCATGGTAAGGATTGAGCAGTGCGCATACACGTTGAATTGTTTTTACGGTTCTCGCCCAAATGAACCGCTGCCACGTCTTCTCCTCTAGGTGGGCTGTGGGGCCATCGGCTGTGAAATGCTGAAGAACTTCGCCCTGCTTGGGGTGGGATTGGCCAGCAGCTCAGGAGAGGTGGGCGGTCTCTGTGTTTCCTCTCGTCTGTCTGACTTGATGTATTTCACAGCTCTGTTTGTATTTAGTGAGTATTTGTACTCTGCATCTTCTCAGGTATGCGTCACAGACCCCGACCTCATAGAAAAGTCCAACCTCAATCGGCAGTTTCTCTTCAGACCGCATCATATACAGGTGAACCTTTTCAATGCAATATTTACTCACCTTTTATTAGTTGCAATGTGTGGAATCGTGTCTCTAATCAGAATCCACCACTCAGACATTCACGCACTTTTTCCTTTTCTCCCGGCGTCTCAGAAACCGAAGAGCACCACGGCAGCAGAGGCCACTCTGGAAATCAACCCGGACCTGCAGGTGGACGCTCGCCTCAACAAGGTGTGTCCCGCTACCGAGAGCATCTTCAATGACTCCTTCTACTCCCGCCTGAACATGGTGGTCACCGCGCTGGACAACGTGGAGGCCCGCAGATACGTGGACAGGTCGGCGCAAATATTAAAGTGACACGCGAGCATTCAGTTGATTTCTAGTTCTTTCATTTAATCTTTCACTGACTGAGCCCGTCTCTCACCATAAACCCAGAAAGAGCATACCTACGGCATGAATCGGGGGAGTTTTGTTCACTAATTTGGCCAACAAGTGATATCGTGTTTCTTTACGTTTTCAGCCGCTGTTTATCCAATCAGAGACCTCTCCTGGACTCCGGCACCATGGGAACTAAAGGACACACAGAAATCATCGTGCCAAATTTGACTGAGTCCTACAACAGCCATGTGAGTGTGTGTGTATGTGTGCGAGACCGTCTTTGTGTTTTTTGTTACCGTGGTGTACTAGTAGTCCCAGAAGGCAGACCTAAGTCTTTACAGTGATCATTGGCTTTGCTCCCCAGAGGGACCCCCCAGAAGAGGAGATCCCATTCTGCACTCTCAAGTCCTTCCCTTCTGTCATAGAGCACACCATTCAATGGGCCAGGGACAAGGTCAGCCAGCTCAAAACCCAACAAGTTACCTTTCTTTTTTGACCATTGTTGTGTGCTAATTCTGAACTTTAACTTTGGGTTTGTCTAGTTTGAGAATCTGTTTGCACACAAGCCCTCCATGTACAACTCGTTCTGGCAGACACACCCCTCTGCTGAAGTGGTGCTACAGGTGAGGCTTTATACGGCTTAAGTGTTGTTCCAACTCGTTATAAGTAGCCTTAGCCAGCAATGTGATGCTTTACATGAAAATCAGTTTTTAAAGATTGTGTGTGTGTGTGTGTGTGTGTGTGTGTGTGTGTGTGTGTGTGTGTAGAGGATGCAGCTAGGGGAAAGTCTGGAGGGGTCATTCCAGGTCATTAAGCTGCTAAGCAAACGGCCCAACAAGTGGGAACAGTGCATCACGATCGGCCGTCTGAAATTCGAGAAGTACTTCAAGAGAAAGGTAACAAGTCTCCTCCTGAAAACACACATTTGTTTAATAGATCACATGTACACGAGTGTTGGTGCAAGCTCCACAATCCTTTTCTTTCTGTGTAGGCCCTACAACTGTTGCACTGTTTCCCTCTAGACACGAGGTTAAAAGATGGAAGTAAGCATACCTCTAAAGTTTTTAAATGATTTCAGTATAAATTGTACTTAAGAGCAAAGTTGATGATTCTTCTCTTCCTCAGGTTTGTTTTGGCAGTCCCCCAAAAGACCTCCAGCACCTCTTGATTTTGACTTGAACGACTGTTTGTGAGTATGCTCTCTTGCGTTACGGTTCTTGTTGTACGTTTCACATCTTACCAAACCCTCCTCGTTTCCCCCGCCAGGCACTTCAGTTTCATTGTCAGCACTGCCCGGCTCTTCGCGGGGATTTACAACATCCCTTACTCAGAAAAGGTAAGTCACGTACGCTCATGCATTTTCTCAAACACACACTCACTTACTCACTGACTGGACTTTTCCTTCTTTATCAGGATGTCACCGAAGAGGAGGTGACCAGGCTTCTCTCGGATGTCAAGATTCCCGAGTACAGGCCCTCGGAGAAGGTGAGCTTTGCCACTGAGCTGGTGCTTAAGCTTCTATCATAGTGTAAAAAAAACCAACCCTAATCTTGTTCGACTGCTCTGTCCCTTCCAGTGTATAGAGACCAACGAGTCGGCAAAGAAGCCCGATTCAATGAAGTTGCCTCTGAGCAGCGAGGAAGAGAGGGAGGCCATCACACAGCTGGAGGAGGCCATCGCAACCGACAACGTCACAGCAGGTGCACAGCCAAAATAAACACAACAAATACTAAATCAAAAACCAAAGATTTGTAAATGGTAATTGGTTCTCTCTGTTCTTGATATGTGCGTCCACACACAGAGAGGCTACAGGTGAGCCCGCTGCAGTTTGAGAAGGACAACGACGCCAACGGCCACATGGACTTTGTCACGGCGGCGTCCTCCCTTAGAGCCAGGATGTACGCCATCGAGCCGGCCGACCGACTCAAGACCAAGCGGATCGCCGGCAAGATCATCCCCGCCATCGCCACGGCAACAGCCGCTGTGGCTGGACTGGTGAGAAACGCTCGCCACATCGATGGGTTAACCGGGTGCCTACGCAACACTTGACAATATGACGATCTGTACTTTCTGTCAAACTTGCACAATGCACCCGACCCCCAGTGACCACCCTTGACGTTGGTTGGCCCATGTAGTTCTTTTTGGGTTGTGCTGGTCAGACTGGGCCAAATGGGTCCGGCCACCAGATCCCGGATACAAGCGGCTGCAATGGCTTTCCTCCGTAGAGTGGCTGGGCTCACCCTTCCAGATAGTGTGAGGAGTTGAGCTGCTGCTCCTTGGCATCTAAAGGAGCCAGTTGAGGTGGTTCAGGCATCTGATCAGGATCCCTCCTGGATGACTTCCCTTGGACGTTGGGAGACCCTCGGAACACGCCGGAGGATCCAGACTCGCAGTATTAGGACGTCAGGAGTGTAAATAGATGTTGAAAAGTGAATTCCGTTGTTCTCAACATACATAACTTTGTTATTTCTGTGTTATTTCTTTTTTCTGCTGCGTTCAGGTGGCCCTCGAGTTGGTGAAGGTGGTCGGAGGCTACGAGTTTGAGTCTTTCAAAAACTGCTTCTTTAACTTGGCCATCCCTGTAGTGGTGCTCACGGAGCCTGCCCAAGTCAAACAGTCACTCATCAGGTAAGGGAATGCTTCTCACACGACTGAAGTGATGAAACACCTGGAACTGTTTTGACCCCATGCACTGACTGTCTGACGTCTTTCCCAGGGACAACATTTACTTCTCCATCTGGGACTGTTGGACTATCTTTGGCCACGAGGACTTCACTCTCTCTGACTTCATAAATGCAGTGAGGGTGAGAAGCCATTTGCTTGTATTCAGATGATTGTATTTCCCCTGAGGTTTGTCAATGCTTCTTTGTCTGTTAAGTTTTTTTTATCCATTGCTTGTTATATTCCAGGAAAAGTATGGAATCGAACCCACCATGGTCGTCCATGGTGTGAAGATGCTCTATGTGCCTGTGATGCCTGGGCACTCGAAGAGACTCAAGCTAACGTAAGTGTTTCCTCATACTCTATTCTTCGTAACCTCCCGAAGAACGTCGCTCCTCTGAACCTCGCCTCTTGCCTCTCCTCAGGATGCAGAAGCTGATCAAGCCATCCGTGGACCGCCGCTACGTCGACCTCACCGTGTCATTTGCCCCAGAGGCAGATGGAGACGACGACCTGCCCGGCCCCCCTGTCAGGTACTTCTTCAGCCGCAATGGAGAGACGCCCTGACGCCTTCCCTGGTGGCATCCTCAAGCCTCTTGTGTCCTTACTCCTCCCTTCTGTCATGTAAATTGTTGTACCCCAATAACCTGGGCCACGGCCTAGAGCTTTCCTTCAGGATGATGTCTGACTTGGGCATAGCTCCTGGGTCCCAACACCAGCCCCCCCGCACCACCCCTCTGTACGTAATGGAACAAGAAAAGGCCAGTCCTGGTCCCAGTTTTTCTTGCCCCGGATCTAGCCAACACGAGGCTGCTTGAGTAGCACTTAACTGTACCTTTGTACATATATTTCCTGTTCTGTTTTCTACTCTGGTAAAAAAAAAAAAAAAAGCACAGCTCCGGCCTGTGTCGATGCCTTAATTGATTAATAACCTTTTTTTCTGTTTGTGGCAGTGAGTTTGACTGAAAACTATGTTTACAGAAACCTGCAACTTAGTCTTGTTTGTGTTTTAAAGTCTGCTGGGCCCAGGAGGGGGGGGTGAAGTGTAGTTGTTCGGCATCACATTCTTCTTCCTCTCATTGCCAACCACAGAATATGACAGACGTCGGTCATCTTCCTTTATAGAAAGAGTTTGAGGCCAATATTTGTTAACAGTTAGAGGTGCAAAGACACTGACTACCATTGTGTCTGCGGAGGATTGTTCTGTTTTAAACATCTCTATCCCAGCGGGATGGTATTAGCCCAACATTACGGAGCAGATGTGCGTTGCTCTTAACTTCATGGGTAAAAGCACCCACTAATTGTAGCTGCTACTCTCACCCATCATGTTAAATACTTAGGTAATTACAGTATCGACACCGGTTAACACATTTGGGTGAACCACATGTTCCTCATTAGATTAAGTAATGGCATGACTTCAATTGTTTCACACACAGAAAAGAGGCTTTTTTTGACTTACAAAACATCTGTACCACCATCTGGGATCGCACTCCTGTATTTTTTGTTTTTTTCCAAACATGATCCGTGCTGTTGTTGCATTTGTTTATGGGTGTGTCCATGACACGTATTTATTTACTCGTTACTCATTTGTGTCTAACTGAGCCTGTGTTCTTGTTGTTGCACCGGTTTATTATGAAACGACAAACAAAAGTCAAACTAAAAGCGTTTAAGAGTGAATCAGCCTTCTGTTTAGTTCCAGTTGAAGGTCGTGAAAAGGTGTCTTAGAAATCGTCTGCATCGGCTCATATTGGCAAGAAAGTCAATGTAGTTGAGTGAAATCATAAAAGATATTTAGCTCTGTATTGATACTCTAATACTGACAGGTTATCGTCTGCATCAATGAAGACTAAAGACACACAAAATGCTTCCCCGACCACGTTTATTTTTCTCCCCGTAACCAGAGGTGGTGAATTTGGCTTTTTACAGAAAACGTCACATGTTGACACTTTTCTTTCATAAGCGTAAAATTGAACTGTTGTGCGACAATGATGACGATGTATGTTCCTGTGACTGACAACTCAACCAACGGTCTAAAATGTGAGATTTTCAGGATGTCCTCCAGACTATAGCTGCTCCGCATCTTTTTGTTCTGAATGCACCACGGTAGATAGGATAGTGCTAGTAAATAATCTGTATCTGTTTTGATGATTTATTAATTAAAAATTGTGGAGAAAAAGACCAAACATTCTCCACTTGCAGGTGTGCTGCTTTTCCTTTACATATATCATTGTAAAGTGAATCTTTTCACATCACCATTGTCACTGGGAAGTTGTGATAAACATTTTCCTATGATTTGTTTTTTTTGACATTTCATAAAACAAATGATCACCACGAAACACTTATCACGATAATCATTAAAGGACAATAATTGTTGCAGCACAGAAAAGAAATCGAGAACATTTCATGTTATTACATTACATAGATTATCATTGTCCATAAAAGCTCATGGCAAGTAATCTGTAATATCAGCAAATGAAAATCCACATTTTACAAAAAATGTCACTAAATATAAATACATTCAACAGTTCATTTACAGCTCATATGCATGTATTCATCTCATTTCATTATTAATGTAGCAATTAAAAAATATATAGATTAGTGTGATGCAGTAGTAATAACATTACAGAGCCTTAAAGGGACAGTACACCCCAAAATTGAAAACTACATATTTTCCCCTCTTACCTTTAGTGCTGTTTATCAATCTAGCTTGTTTCGGTGTAAATTGCCTAGTTCTGGAGATATCTGCCCTCTCTCCAATATAATGGGACTATTTGGCGTAACAGGGAAAATGTGTATTTAGATTTAGGGGGATGAACTGTCCTTTATGTCGACATGAAAACATTCACATTATATATCTAGGTCCTGCAAGTTGCCCCAGCTCGGTCCCGCCTTGACTTTGGCCTTAAGCTTCACATACAGTTTTACTGCCGACTCCATCTCCCTCTTGACTATCTGAGCGACCTGACAGAGAGACAAAGAGGTATGTATACATGCGTTCTTTCACAGAATGTGTTACCCTGATTCTCGTCTACGTTTCAGTGAACATGCGTTCAAAGATTTCTCATCACAGGTCCATTAATTGCTGCGTAATTAATTATATCTCAAATTCAGGTGATCATATCAAGTCTGAGACTTATCAATACATACAACTGGAACTAACCTGCTTTTGTCAGCCCAGAAATAACAAATCAATGACATGCAGCTTTCTGTAAACTACGCTACAATGCATACACAATACTACTGAAAGATGTTCGTACCTGTATGAGGTCTTCCTCCGCGGTTTCATAGAAGAGTTCATCATGCAGCTGCAGGATAAAGTAGGCCCCTCTGAGTCGAGACGCCCCGACCCCACGGTGACCGCCGGCTGTGTAACGGACACCGTCAGACACGAGTCATTTACACAACTTTTCTTTTTTTGCCGTACACACAGTAGAATAGATAGAAGATTGAACGGAAGTCACCTGGACACGCGTGCTGGTGAGACAGCGGAGCTGCGGGATACATTTTCCGCAGTCGTTTCTGGATGTTCACGGTGGCAAGTTTAACAATGTCTGCCGCCGAGCCCTGCACCGTTGTGTTCACTGCCTGGCGCTCTGCCTGAGGGGGACACGCAGAATTTTGGGAATGAATGCAAACTTGCACGGCACACAAATGCTTTCCAATGAACGGGCGAGCTTACATGTGCTTTGGCGTGCCCGTTGGCGTTGGTGATGCCCGGCAGGTATCTCCTACGGCCCATCAGAGTCTGGACGTAGCCGTTCTTTACACACTTCTTCACGGTTTCTCGAAGAAAAGCGTTGATCCCTGAAACGCAAGACAGGACACGGATGTACCCTTTTTTTGTAGATTCACGACTTTGATGGCAAAAGATGTCGAGACACCAAAAAAAAGTGTGCGGCGCATACCTTTGTATCTGGCCTTGAAACTTTCTATGTAGCAGGCCGCGTCCTCCTCCTCCACTCCCATCTGCTCCCCCAAAGACTTGGCTCCCATCCCGTAGATAATACCGTAGCAAATCTGCGTAGACAAATGCACGGGCGGTGAGTGTGTGCACGTGTGTTCGCGTCAGCGTCTCTTTCCTGCCTGGTTGTACCTGTTTTGCCTGTTGCCTGAGGTCGTCCTTCACAGACTCCGGATCGACGCTTTTCCACTCGGCGGCGATGCAACGAAACACGTCGGCTCCTCCGTTCAGCACCTGGCGGACGCACACAGTTCGTCATTCTATTTCACCTGTTCCCCGGTGATTGTCGTGTGATGTTTCCTTGCGATTGGCAGACCTGCAGAAGACGCTGATCCTTGGAGAGGTGAGCCAACACTCGCAGCTCCAGCTGAGAATAGTCAGCTGCCAATATCATCCCGCCTGCAGCCCAGTGCAGAAAGACACAGCTGGTAGAGCAGTCCGAGAGTCAGTTACAGACAGAAAAGGTGACGCAAGATATATTCATAGCAACCTGAAAAAGGTACGAAGGCGTGTCTCATGCTGACAGAGAAGGCCGGGCCGTGTTCTGCGCGGCCAGCTTCAGCCGAGGGCACCACTGAACGTCTCTTCTTTCTGTAAAGAATCAGCATGAGCATTAGTTGGACCAACGCTGGAGTTCGCTTAAATCTTAGTCTTTCATTTGATTTGATTTGATTTATTTTAAAAATTATTTTATTTACTTATTTTATAATTAAGTAGAACATTTTCATATTATTGTTTTTTCATTTATCACTTATTTTATTTTATTTAAGCTGTATACGTTGATTGTATTTAAGTGGAATCATTTTATTGTATTAAAATTGTTGGCTTGTCAATAATCTGTGAAGCACTTTGAACTGCACTAATCTGTATGAAAGGTGTGATACAAATAATGATTGATAGATAGATAGAGAGAGAGAGAGATAGTGTGTATTGTGAATATTACACAAACAAAAGCTATTGTCTCAGATCCACACGAATCAGCACACTCCACAATATTATTCCGATTTTTGTAAACAACATTAGCGCTAAAAACAATATGTTAATATACAAAATAACGCTGACCCTGCTGCAGTTAAATGAGCGGTTTTCTAGAGGGACTCTGGTGCCACTTTTGTCCACAGGGATCGCCAAAATCAACACAAAACGAAAGCTCCTTGTAGTGAGTTTATCCAATAACGTTATAAATAAGTAAGTTATGAGTAAAACAATAGTTATTTTACATTCTTTAGTGACAAACGCATCAAGTGCAGTGAACTCCGAGGTTGACCTACCCTGATTTGGTGGTCATGTGACAGCTATCTTGTGACGGTGGGCTCTCCCCCACCACCGCTGGCATGAAAATCTCAAAGTCTTTGGGGACATTCTGTACGTTGGGCTCAGTGAAGCTCACTCTACCTGAAACACAGAAAGAGCGGCAATACCGCATGCTTTGGATCTACTTTTAAATTGTATTGAACAACACCTAATGCACATGCGTTAAAGACAGGTGCGTGTAATGTCTGTGTGTGTGTGTGTTACCTGTGGCTGTGTGCGTCTGGGCGATGGGGTATATTCTGTCCATGGCCAGTGTGGTGTGGTATCGCTTCTCCCTCTGCAGGGGGAACACCACTTTGGTCAAGGCATTAGTGATCTGCCTCCACTCCAGAATAACGCCCGGCAGCGGGTGAAGGGGGCGGAGCTTCTCCAGAACATCCTGCCAGACATCATTGCAACTCAGTTGAAACACGGCGAACACTTCATCGCACAAATATAACCTCATGTTTACCCAACAAGTTGTGCTGGGCAATATGGCCCAAAATCTTATATCCCGGATCCCGATACAGGTCATTTCATATCTTGAT